TCTATAGAAAATTGGAATGTCAAGGAGTAATACAGAAGTGGACAATTTATAAGAGAAGCTCAAGGCTCTTAATAAGGTTGTGTCCGAGAATTTTTAAAATTACATTCAAAAAAAAATAAAACGAAAACGTTAAATTATTGGGTATAACGTTAAAATGAAATATAATATTTTCTCATAAAGCTGTTAGTGGGTTTGTACACCAACAATTATTAAAACTATAAATTTTGTTACTAATATGTAACTTTTAATTTATCTTTATTGGATTTTAAACTCTTTTAATTTTTTTTTGGTTATAAGTACCTATAAGTTTTTTAGTTTCAATGATAAAATATATTATATACATAAAAATCGAAGGAAATAATTTCAATTAGTTCATAGTTGGAGTAGAATTATTTCTTAAAAATAGTTAAATATATACAGAAGATATCAGCTGCAGTAGAAAAGCATGTAATAATCAAAAGTAAAAATCTTAAATCCGTAATATCTCAGCTACTGAATCAACGCAACCCAAAAAATGTTATATACAACAACGTGAAATCCAACATAATACCTAGGCAAATAGAACAGAAAAGAAACCAAAATTAACATACATAAAAAGAAGTTTCGCACAAACGAAATCTAAATTCATATTCATAAATATTAATAATAGAAAATATTATTAAAACAAATGTAAGGGGCCGTTTAATTAACTACTACTGAAGAAACGATTTTTCTGAAAAGTCTCTGAAAAATGTTAAGTAAAAATTGTGAAAGGTTAAGTAAAATGAGAAGAACTGGATATTGGAGATTTACGATTCATAAAGTAGTGACTAGTAGTTCATAAAGTTGTGGAAGTAGTAGCTACTTCCACAACCTACGGCGATGTTAAATAATTCAACGTTGATGGTGCTATAAGAACTAAAGGCTGCGCAAGTGGATTCGTAAATACTATAATCAATTTTGAAGTTAAGATATATTAGTGATTTCTTTTGAAATCTTCCAATTCTTGTTATGCATAATTGATATTGATGGATTCCGAATGTGCTTTTCATGCCAACAAAAAAAAAACATTACTTTTGCATCAAATATCTCAGAAAATATCTGAGTTACACTTATTATGACAATACTACTACCGAAGATGTATTTGTTCCTGCTCACATCTACTATCCTTGTAAAGAAAATTACATTACATTTCTTAAGAAGAACTGTGCTACAAACTCTTACAACTACTTTCTATAGAATATAGTGACTTAATAAAATCATGTTTAAAAGAGCTACTTCAGACTTAAACAAGAAGGCGGGTACTGCTCCCTTTCGTGTTATAGAAGCTGGAGTACTCCAGGGCATCATACATGCTCAAATCACATTTCTAAACAGCATGAGGTGACCATAGCAATATTTGCGAACGACGGCACTTTTTTGGTGTTGGATATATAAGCAGTATTAAACTCAAAATTTACGAAGTAGTGCGAAACCAAATTAATGAATGGGCTAAAATTTGACGAGTAAGATGAACGAAGAAAAATTTACGCACATAAAGGATTTTAGGAACGAACGTATCGGTTTCATTTCTGTCACTATCCATAGAATTATCGTATCATACTCTGCCACAGCTAAACACCTTGGCTTGTCCATTCAAAATAAACTGCTCATAAAGAAGCAAATTTTGATGCCTGGGTAGACCTATGGTATCCAGCTATGTGGGTACGCTGAACAAAACAGTGTTGCTATAAGACAGAGGTTTTAATGTAAAGTATTTGCAAGCATTGTCAAAGTGCCGTATTGTGTCAAAATCGCTATTAAATATTAGGATCCCCTTCGCCACCATACAACGCCCAAACCGTCAAGCTTCTCGACAACAGTGGATGAATGTGCCGGCTTATAACAACAAAACCTTCTGACCATGTTCTTGGTAAATAGCAGTGCTTTGAATGATTTAAAAAATCAAATCCGGTGATTTTGATGTGAGATATTGCAAGCATTGTTGGAGGAAGATACTTAATAGACAGAAAAGAAAGTCATTTCTCAGAAAATGGATGTATTTTGAGAATTCTAAGCATAAAGGATCATGGATAACTCCAAGAAAACCATCGACATCAAAATCAAATTGCTATGGACAGAAGACAACGCGTTATGTTTGGTGGGATCAGCAGGCTGTGATCTATTATGAGCTGCTAAAACCTGGCGAAACCGTTAATACTAAACGCTACTGATAACAAATTATCGATTTTGATCAAGCTTTACGTGACAAACGACCAGAATATCAAAGAACGCAACATAAAGTGATTTTCCTTCATAATAATACACCATCACACGAAGTAAAACTAGTCAAGGAAACGATCGAGCCGTTAATTCGCATTGATGAGATACCCACTTGCTGAGCAACGCTTCACTTTTTATGAAAATGAACAAAAATTTCTCGATGGCCGGTTTACCTCAAAAGAGATACATTTCTTAGCGTTTTTTATCGGAAAATGCATTATCTTTATTTTTTTAAATGGAACACCCCATATATTATAACATTTATAAGATTTTTCGAAGGGCAGGTGATTAAGTAAATAGTCGACCCAACGATAACAACATCGGCTTGTAGAAAGAAATATTGAAATATGTATTTGGCAGCAAAACATGTTAATAACGAACTTATTATTGGAAAAAGGCATCATATTGACGATTAATAACCCTGAATCAAACTAATTTTACCTTAAAATTATCACTTTACTTACTTTATCGCCAGCTCTACAAACCATCAACAACTAGTACATATGTAAGTTAGTATAAAAATTATGTTCATCTACATAGTTACATACTAAAATAGGACGTTACCACGTTAATTGCTTACAGTAGACATCTACATCAAATCATCACCGTACAAGTAAAATCTAATCACTAGTTATCACAACTAATTGAATATTAAGGTATAACCTTGTGCAATACACTTAAATTTACGATACAATATGTACAGGTTCAAACCAAGAACAGTAGAATCTAATCCAATCTTTAGATTCTACTGTCCTTGGTATTTTCATAGAAACGCACCCTTGGCAGAGTCGGTGGTCTCAACATTAACAACAGACAGGCTGTGCACTGTATAGTGGATAAATTCGAGTCGACGTATTCAATATTGAATGTTGCTGTGTCAATGAGACAACGTAGTGTTGCTTCGTAAATACTTCAGTTCAAAATAACCAAAATTAGTCAGGTGTAAGAATGGGGAATCCCTCAAACCACATTGTGACGAATTTTGATTTTGTCACAAGATCAAATTAACTCAAAAACGGATGCCTCTTGATTATTAGAAGCACCGAAACTTTTCAGATTGAGGTCTGCTAATCTTTGGAGAAAATCCATCATAGATTTCATTTTTGGCTCAATGGCTATGTCAATAAACAAAATATGCAGCAGGGATAGCAATAAATCCCTATGTACTTCAAAAGACTCCATTGCAACCACAAAAGCGACCATGTTATGTGAACCTCATGCCGGAGGTGTGATTGGATAATATTTTTCAATTGATGGCCATGCTACGGTCAATGGAATTCACTATTGTGCTATGTTTGACGACTATTTTTTGACGTTAAGTCGATGATTTTTGTCAACAAGCTCGCAACGTTAAAGGTGCTCAGAGAAAATATAGATTCGAAAGAAAAAATCTAGGTATAATATCTAAAATTATATACCCCAACAACACGTAATAGTACTTCAATGCGTACTTCAGTAACTTTTATTATTTATTTTAATAATCAACATACAACTCTTATCTATTTTATATTTCCCCCTAAACCACGCGACATTACACACAAAATATACAAAAGAAGATCTTCACAAACTAAACATCAATCACTACATATAATATACTGTATTTGTTCGAACCTAAGTCGCACAATTTTTGCTGTAATATCACTCATAATAATGTGGTGCATCTTAGAACTAAGTGCTCAGTGCCATAACTTAGTTATTTACCACTCTATTTTAAGACACATCTTTCGATAAAATCATTCTTAGAAATTAAGTACGTCTAAAATTTTTGTACATCTTAGATTCGAATAAATACGGTGTTAAATATTTTAAAACATATTAAGGGAAGGAATAACGTATTTAAGGAATACAAAGAAAACTGTTAAAATTCGTTTTTAAATAGAAGTCTAGAACATTGAAAAAAAAATTTTAATTATTTCTCATTTTCATGTTCATTACATTCTATCAAGTTCTTAATGAAAATGATATTTTTTTGAAATTTATAAATAATAATTATTAAATGTTATAAAAAATATTTAAATTTAGTCTTGTAAATCTTCAAAAATTAATTAAAATTACAATGTTGTCCAAGATAACAAATGATTTTTAATTTTCCTATATCTTATTATATTTTTATAACTAGTTCCCATTATTTTTCTTTCTATAGAAATTTTTTGTTCGTTAACCTTACTACGGTTTCTTAGCAAGTAAAAGGTATTCACGGACCACAAAACGTAGATTACGAAGAAAGATCCCTCTTTTTCGAGTAAACACGGCTCTTGGCCGGTCGGATAGCCTACAGTCAGAGGTAAGTTACTAACCCAAGCGGAAAGCGGCATGAATTCGCTTCACGCCAGACTGAAGTTTTCCTTACAGCTCGGTTAAAATACTTGAAAATTCGCATCGGGTTGCTCTAGTTTTGGTCGTCTTACTACAGCATCAAAATCAGTCACCATTCGAACGAAAATCTTTTTCAACATTATTTTATTCATAAACCACATAAAAACTTTCGTAAAACAAATGTAAATGTTAAATTTATTTTCAATTGCGTTTAATTGCCAAACCAGTTCACACGAGATTAAATCGTATTACTTTGTTTACACCATATAATTTGCGTTAGCAATTTCGAGGCATGTAATCATGTGAGTCATGTATCGTTTTATAATTGTAGCGTGGGTTTTAACTTTAAGTGCAGATCAGCTTAAAATACACCCAAATTACGTCCACATTTATGTACATGTGGGTGATTTAGTAATAACACGGTTTTTTTTGTTTCAGATCAAAGTAAGTTGTTACAAACATCTACATTTACTAAGATAAGTATGTTAAATTATTTCAGTAACAACTTTATATTTTAGTTACGTGGCTAAGGCAAAACTGTTCGAAGCATTTTTCACAAATAAATTTGGCTGAGTCGAAATTAGATTTTCCGGCAGTCTACTCCCGGAAACCCTACGGGATCCAGGCATAGAAGGGCGCTTTAAAAGATAAATCTGTTTAATATTTATGGTTTCCGTCTGCAATTGTTAAGACATCTTCCAATGCGTATTTATCTTTATATTCATCATTATCAAACGTTAAGAAATCGGTTTCATAACATTTTAATAAGTTATTAAACGTTTTAATAAGTAATTGAACGTTTTAAATTTTAATTGAATTTTTATTAAACGATTTCGAGATGCCTTCAAAGTCGTCATAAATATTTACATCAGCTATCGCCTGTATTATAACTTGAAAGCGTTTCTGTAAATACGGACCCGGGCGCAAAACCAATGTTAACGGAGTCATAAATTCCGGTAATAAAGTTTGCAATGCGGAAAAGTTTTCGAGATAAACACAGTTCGCGAATGCGCGCCCCATAGAAGCGTTGGTTCGGTTAAGCCGGAGGTCATTTGCGGATTTCTTCGTCCTCCAGTTGATCTCAAACGCCTTCGTAATTAAAGATTCCCTTACTCTTAGCACGTTTATCTTCCATTTAATGTTAAACCGAAACTCGGACCAAACAACAAGTTTCGAAGGCTTTTGGTATATATTTTCACTAACGCTAAGAAGATTCTTAACGTTAAATGAATACAGTCAAGGTTATGTTCCGAGATTGGCACATACTGAAACAAAAATTATTTTTGTAAAACCCTCAAAGAAACAAAAAATAATTTCATTGATAAGAATTAATAAGAATGACTATAAATTACTCAGAAATATAGATGATACAGTGTTGCATAATAAAAATACCACATTTTTGGGGTATCAGGTACAATCCGAATAGGGTAATAAGCCGAGACCACTAAGGTCAATTGGAGTGGGTGGCACTCTAACCACTATAATACCTATACACCTTCAATGACCTGACTTGAATGATTATTACGCTAATGATCGTTCGCCCACATTACCCTTTAACGATGGTTTGTTCAGATGTTATTATAGTAATGTACATAGTAGACACACACTTAGATATTAAATGATAAATTATCTAGAATCTATGAGACTACATTGCCTAAATTGCAAATTATGGAATAAAATTACTACCTTTAATTGTCAAAAACCTTATCATTAACAAAAACACAACATGTACTTTTGACCAAGGCAATCTTCAGCATCTAAGTAATCCTTTAGTTTAACATGTATTGATAAAGTATCTGAAGTTAATTTTTTAGAATCCCCATATTCAATTTCTGGTATTATGAGAAACTGCAAGTATATCTCACAAACCTGTCAGATCTTTCTTAAAAGAAACCTACAAAACTAGATTTTGAGTTTGAAGGCTTAATTCTTACTGATCTCGATTTCCCTTATAGCTTGGCAAACTTCTTGAAGATGGATATTGTTCTGAAACTGTTTCGTCATATTCAAAATCGGAATATTTATCATTTATTTATGCAAATAATACCGAATAATGATACTAGAACTAAACCAATCCAAAGAAAATATATTAAGACAAATAGAAGAAATAATTGGTATTGTAGAACAGATTTTTACCATTATTTCCACGCATACACTGGTGGAAGTAGAAGAAAGAAGGCTAAAAAAAATCCCCATCAACAGTTTTTTACACCTCCTGCGTTGTATTACCATCTATAAGTCAAACAACTACAACAGTATATGGAAATATTCGCGGGATGAGAATACATACGAAGTTATGGTTACAAATTAGAAGAAATTTACTGCGAGACTTTCAAAGAAATTAAAAACTATAAAATTATTTGAAGCACTAACGAATTATGGAAATACGAGATAGCAACACAACAAAAAATCAGGGCTGCAAGTGGAAACTATAAATGTAAAGCGCCATATAGAACTATATTTGCAGTAAGATTTAAGTAGCTCCATTAAATATTAAAGAGCAACAAATTTAAATAATTGGCTATGGACAAATTAGCAGATACTTTGCGAAACATTATATAAACGCTGTGAGTGTGAACGTTCATAAAACAGAATACTTTGTGTGTCTGAAAATGATAGAACGTGCTTTCTTAACGTGCTATTTCTTTCCAATTCGAAAAACAGAAGTCATCGTAAGGCAACTACATGCTATGGGTACGCAGAATCTCTGCACTCTAGGTAAAGTAATTATAAGACAAAACTAGAACGCCAAACATTTTCACGGCTGGCGTTGATTACACTAAAGTTACAGCTAACACTACTCACATGTCCTTTCTGCTCGTTAGAAGAAGGTTTGGCTCACTGATCTCTTCTGTTGTGGATGGTGATGGGATGAAGCTTTTGGATGCCTATTCATGTGTGTCTTCTTCCAATAAATTCCTAGTACCGGAAATTATTACCAAAGTATGACGAGAAGGTAAAGAGATTCATCGACATAATGATGACATGAATAGAGAAGACTGCTCTGAACTTAGCCACGTGTATATATTGATAACTTCTAGGTTTTGTGTGATGACACACAAATGACTACATATATGTATGTGTGGCAAAGCGCATCTGATAGTTATGAGAGTTTGAGACTAAAAAAACTCCAATCACTGATTTTTCAAGAGACTGGATGGAGACAACGAACGATGCAGCACTGGAAGTGTTACAAATCTTTCCATTTTGATATTTGAAACGTCAATTTCAAAGATACATAAAAAGATAGCTTTAGGACTAGATAGTATTATACTAGAAACACCGACTGCTTTGTTGTTTCTTTGAATATATCTTGCTAAATGTATACCTCGAATGTCTTAAATATTGATTTGATTTTGTTGGTTTTTAAATAAAGAACGTTTTCTCTTTAGCTTGGCTTCGCTTCTTTGGTCGGTAATGTAGTAAACTTAAAATATATTATATAGTATGTCGTAATGGTCACTTACTCTAACATAAGCATTCTACGCGTTATCAACTTGGGCAACAGAGATTTCACGTTTACACACCATATTTTCTTTTAATCAGTCTCTTAGGTTGGAAGAAAAATGATCGCTTGACTAAGAGTTACTGGCAAGACGATGAGAGTTGGTAGAAAACTGCAAGAAAGCAGCTCACAGTGTATTGAATAACTCCAATTGGCGTATAAAATTTGGCTGTCAGTGGCCAAACCATTATAATTGTAAAGTAGCATAAGAATGAGATGTAAGTTATAAAAAACAGTCATTTCTGTCCAGAGTTCTCCATGTTTCCTAAACCCCTATTGTTTAAGCGACGTTTGTTAGTAAGTGCTATAACCTTTGATTAAGCAATCATTGGCATTGTAGAATATTACATGGTCTTTCGATAATGTTGCAAAGAATTTGATATTCTTCCTAGCAAGCAATCTGGGTCTCTTTTTAGTTTTTAATAGTCTATGGCTTACATTTACGCCGATGACACTCCTATGTTACATTATAGTACCCTATTGCCAGGTCAAGAATATATTAATGAAGATTTAAAGCCAATTATCAATCCTGCATCTAAGCATTATAACTCAACTCCTCCATGTCTTCAGCTGATAGTTTTCCAATCGTTAGTGCAGCTGATATTTCGATGGGAGTATAATCGTGAGCGCATAATCTCGGATGCATCTATCTTCGTATTTCAGTTACATATGTAACGTATTAGTACATTATAATCTTTTGTTATCGTTTTGATGTCCTCTATGCTTTGAAGATCCGGAAACTCTAAAACTTCTGCCTTCATTTTCTTTATGGCATCATAGTACTTTCGAAAATTACTAAAATAACCATTTATCATAAAACATTTTATCTTCAATTTTAGAAGAATAGATTTCGAGGTGTTACGGTTAAGTAATAAAAAATTAGATATAAAAAGATCCTTTAATTCAACGAATCAAACTGTTTCCCCTCTTATAAAAGTCCTAACATCCATTAGTACTTAATCCAACCGGAGAGCACAATACCCGGTTTGTAGACATTAAAGTAAACGACCGTAGAAGAATTACTCTCGGCAGTTGCGCACGGCGCGGATCTCGTCCATTATGGGATAATTAGGTGTAGCTCCTCTTGTAAGTCGATTAAATTCTTGATCGTTTTTTCTGTCTTCGGGGAGGAGCCGGACCGTCGTCTTCCAGTTGTCACCGTACGTTGTACTCTAATTGCTCTCGGAGAGCTCCAAGTTATCCGGAACCACCCGGATCGGGAGAACCGGTCCCGGATAATCCGGCCGCAGTTAAACGCTAATGATGTGCAGATTGCCGTCGGCACTCCGACTATTGCTAAGCATAATTAGGAGGGTGTCCCTTTTGATATCTTCTGATACTGGTCGACGCCGCCACTGCCTCTCGTATTTGTACCGGAGGCGGAACCATTAGCGTCGAGTAAACGACTTCAGACGGCAAAATCGACGTCCAAAGAACAAGTTTATATATCCAATTAAGTGTAGAAAACTACACAGTACTATATATCTTGGTTATTATTATTATTTTGTGGTTTGTGCGTAGTTTTTTTTACTTTTTATCACTGAATTTTGTTTCCTTTAGTGCTATCTTTTCAGTTGAATGGACGAAGTAGTTGCCTAATTATAGGGAAATGCATTGAGATATGCCGTGGCAGTGGCGGCGTTGTGCATTGTAAATTTGAATTTATGTGGGATGTATTGGAGAGAAATCGGGTCAGTTAATGTCTCGAGGCTATGAGAGTTGCTTTCAATTTGTGCAAAAATTAAACTACCTACCGTATCGTTCGTTTTTTTTTGCGGTTTTGAACCGCATGCCTGGGAGTTAACTTCAAAAAAAAATTATTGCGGTCATTCAACTGATAGTATATAGACGTATGAAATTACAACCTGGAATATCTGTATGTGGTTTCTGTGGTTATTGTTGAATATCGCGTAAATTTAAACAAAGTAAAAGTAAATGAACAAAGTCCAAATGCAATTTAATCTAATTAAATATC